CCAAGTGAGCAATGGAACTCAGCAGTGTTGTCCACATGGTTCTGGCTTTAGAGTTATAAAAGATGCAGTTATAAATGGGCTGTGAAATCTTCCTCTGTGATTAAGGAAAGCCACTGAGGCCAGGCTTATGGCAGAAGAATCCCTACATAGACTATAAGAGGCTATTGTGTGAAGTTATGAATGTAAAACCTGGACTCCACTGGAGATCCCAAAATGTTAGAGGTGCCAGAGCTGCCAAGGAGAGCTGCACACAGGGAAGGGAACCAGCCCAAGACCAAGAGGTATGTTACAGCCAGCAAAACTGAAAGGTAACAAGCCCTCTGACATCAGACCTTGTGATACAGAATTTGGGATTTCCCCTGCTGGGTTTTGGTATTTCTTTGGTCTAATATATCTTCCTTATACTATAATTCTTTGCTTTGGGAATGGTAATATGTATTCTATGCAATTGTATGCTAGAAATATTTAACTTGTTTTTTGGTTTTGTTGGGGGAGAGTACAATTAAAAGATTGCCTTGAGTCTCTGAAGAGACTGAACTTTGAAAACGGTGAGATTGAAGGAAAATGGGGACTTCTGAAGCTGAACCAAATGCAAATCTCTCTATCCCCCCCCCTCTCTCTTACAGATTAAAATATGAACTCTCAGCTGTTCCTGCCACCATGGCTTTGTTTCATAAGTTGTCTCGGTATTTTGTTATAGGAATGAAAATGCAAATAAGAATTGATCATAGCCACAATTCTAAATAATAAATATTTTAAACACACATTTATTTGAATATAATTATAATAAACCTACCACACGTTAACATTTTTATTTTGCTTTTTAAGGTATATTTTTAAAGTAAAAGTACTTTCAGTAAAGATGATGCCATTTACATTTTTAAACATAATTTTTATTGATTCTTTGGGAATTTCACATCATAGACCCCAATTCCACTCATTTCTCAGTCCTCCCATGTCTATCCTCTACACTTGTAGTATCCCCCCTCCAAAAGAAAACAAAAAAAATTTGCTCCTCTGTCTTTCCCACCTCACCATCATATATTCTTTTGCCTTAGTGGCCTTGGGAGCTGCAGTGTGTCACGCAGATAACCCTTTTGCCCAAACAACTTTACTTGCAAATCTACAATGATTTGTTGGTTTGGTTCAAGGCCTCTGGCTTCTGGCACACCATCATGCCTGGACCCTCACTGAAACTTCTCTCAGACATCCTGCTGTTACCCCTAGTCATTGAGATCCTGTGGCTATGGTTCTATAGGATCAGTCCCCTTCATGTGCTCCAGCAGGTCATAGATGGAGTAAATGAAGAGTGCAACTCGAAGCACTAGATATGGTAGCTGAGTTGGTCAGTTCAGGCCTCCATTGGGACCAGCAAGGGTCAGAACCAGTTCTCTGGTGCCCAGGACACCAGGGCCAGCTTTCCTATAACCCCAGTGGCAACATGAGCCACAGACAACACAGACCCTAGCTTCAGAAGGGCCACAGACCCAGACATGGCCCTTGGCAGAGGCAACAATAAGCCTGGACATCACATGGCCCCAGGTGGCAGCACCGGTCACCCATATCAGCCTGTCTTCAGTTCTGTTTCTCTCCACAGCGCATGAACCACTCTGCTTCTCCTTCTCTCCCATTTCTCCACCACATACCTGTTCATCATAGTAGTGCCTGCCCAGGATGTGGGGCACCTCGTGAGCCTGTGGCTGCCTTGCCCTGTCCTGCCCACCCACTGAGGCCATAGTGTGCCAGTTGGGCCTGTGGTTTTCTTCCTGCCTGCCCAGGCCCTTCATTTACATTTTCTTAATGTCTGCTGGTTTACTCCCTCTCTTATAATAGCATGCACTATGCAGCTCCCAGGAAACCCCTCTGCATACAATAAGAAGACAGGAGTATTTAAAATAAACACTCAAGTGTGGATTTGATAACAGTTTTATCTCATGAAGCCCCCCCAGAGGTTTGAAGATACTCCAAGTAATCACCAGAATATATCTGAAAACCATCAGTGTGTACAACTTAACCTTCCCTTTAAATGGAAAAGATAAGGGAGGGAAATTGAGAACTTATATGTGAAAAGGAAGTGCTAACACCTACATGAGCCAAGCTTCTGAGCAGGAAGGAGTCCATCCTGCCTGGAGAGAGTCCAGCTGGGAAGCAGCCTCCCCTGTCACCACTTAATAACTTCTTAAGGTTGGACAGCAACTCTCCAAGAACTTAACAACACTTTTTACATCAGGTCTCACAAGGCAGAATCACTGTTGCAGCACCCTTTTTCTGCTATTAACCCAGTTTAGTCTTCCTGAGGACAAAATAACTCACAAGGACAAAGGCATTGGCCTAAGGATAATGGTGCCACCAACTGTCTGTAAACGAGTTCTGTATCACATAAGCACTACACACCCTTGCACTACTGAAAACAAGAACAAGATACCCAACAATATTGCTAAGCCTGTGGAACTATGCTTGTGTGTATATACTAAATGCTCTTATTTTAGCTATGTTTCTGTTGGATAAAACCATGACCAAAAGTAAATTGGGCAAAGAAACAAGTTCTGATTGTATCCTCCATTGAAGGAAGCCAATGCAGGAGCTCAAGGAAGGAAGCTGGAGGCAGGAACTGAAGCACAGACCATGGTACAGTGGTGCTTATTGGCCTTCTTGCTCTTGGCTTGCTCGGTCTACTTTCTTAAACATCCCATGTGTTAACTTGGTATCTGGAAGCACGGTATTGCTATGACAGGCCTAACTGTGCTGTTTGTTGGAGGACGATGGAAGACTTTGGGGCTTTGGACCAGGAAAACAACTGGATACTTTAAGTGGAGCTCAGTGAACTATCCTAGTAGGAGCATGAAAGACGGTGCTGGAGGCGATTTTAACTGCAAGGGACCATTCAAAAAGTTTCAGAGAGAATGAATATTTGTAAGTGACCTGGAGATTGTTCTTGCGATCTTTAAAAAAAAAAAACTGTGCCCGTTTTCTGCCCTTGTCTGAAAAAAATCTGCCTAACGCCAAATTGAAGAGCTTTTGGATTAATGGCATTTGCATAAGAGATTTCAAGAAAACCTAATATTGACTATAATGTGTTGCTAACATATAAATTGATACCAGGAGTGGAGTATTACTGTAATAGGTTGAACCATATTTTTATTTGGATGAATATGGAACACTTTGAGAATTTGGACTACAAAAGGGATTTGACATTTTAATGGGAAGAGCATGGAAGACAGTGGTGGTGAGGTTGATTTGAACTGTGGGGACCCAGCACAGGAGCTTTCAGAAGAAAAAAGATGATGCTGATGATGCTGCTGCTGATGATGATGATGCTGATGCTGATGCTGATGCTGCTGCTGATGATGATGATGCCTACAGATCATTCTTGTGATATTTTGGTGAAGAATATGGCTGCTTTCTGCCCTTGTCCAAAAAACTGTCTGAGGCTACATTGAACAGTTATAGATTAACAGCTCTGACAAAGATTTCCCGACAGCCTAGTATTAACTGTGTTGCTTGGTTATCAGTGGCCACACTAAATGCAATTCTATAATGAAAAAGAGCAAGCTGAGCAAGGAAAAATACAAAATGTACAGTTTGAGGAGAAAGGAAGCACAGGAAATATAAACAGATTAAAGAAAAGCCTGATGCTAAGTGGAATAAAGGGAATGGTGACCACAAAGCAAGACCCCACCTAGTTAATCCTCCAATTTGTAAAAAAAGGAATTAAAGTGAAAAGGAATTAAAGAAAAACTTAGGGTTAGGCAAAGTGGGCACATCTTTAATCCCAGCACACAGAAGGCAAGAGGCTTACAGATCTCTGAGCTGTTCAGACCCAGTCTGGTGCACAGACCAGGTTTCAGGATAGCCAGGCTTAGGCAGTGAAGGAAACAATCAAAAAACAGAAAGTTGGTGAAAATGTATTTGAACAAGGGGGCCATGTTCCAAGCAAGCAGCAGAACTTGGCAGCTTTAGTCACATGCTTCTGGCTTTAAAGTCAAGCATAGAAGAAAGGGGTTATAAAATCTCCCTCCACAGCTAAGGAAAGCTTCTGAGGCAGGTGTGTGTCAGTGGTGTCCCTGTTTGGAGGCCTAGAGAGGCCATTTTGTAAAGCTATGAACATGAAGCCTAGATTGCCTTGGATATCCCAAGATGTTGGAGATGCCAGAGTTGTGGGATGCCTGCCAAGGAGAGCTGCTAACAGTGAGTGGAGCCATCCCAAGAGGAAGAAGAGTGCTGCAGTCAACAAAGCTGAACAGAGCTGGAGGTCTGAAGAACACTTCGACATCAGACTTGGAGACGCAGAGTTTGGAGCTTGCCCAGCTGGTTTTCAGTCTTGCTTTGGCCTAGCATTTCCTCACTGTGCTTCCTTTCCTCTCTTTTGAAACAGTAATGTGTATTGTATGCCATTGGGATATATATTGGAAGTATTTGATCTGCTTTTTTATTCTAATTTTACAGGGTATTGCAGTTGAGAGATTACCATGAGTCTCCAAAGAGATTTGAACTTTGAACTTTGAAACATTGTTGAGACTTTGATAGGTTGTAGGGACTTTTAAAGTTGGACTGAATTCAGTTTTGCATTATGATATGGTTATAAGCCTATGGGGCCAGGGGGTGCAATGTGGTGGTCTGAATAAAAGTGGCCTCCATAGACTCATAGGGAGCAGCATTATTTTAAAAGAATAGGATTGTGGCCTTGTTGGAATAGATATGGTGTTACTGGAGGAAGTGTGCCACTGGGGGAGGACTTTGAGGTTTCAAAAGCTTAAGTCAGGCCCAATGACTCTTTCTCTTCCTGTAGCAATCTCAGCTGCTTCTCCAGCACTGTGTCTGCCTTCCACACAATAATAGACTAAACCTCTTAACTTGTAAGCCAGATTCAATTAAATGTTTTCCTTTATAAGCATTGTGCTCATGGTGTCTCTTCACAGCAATAGAACACTAAGACACCATGCTAACATTGAAATAACCTTCTATGATGTAGTCAAGCCATTATTTCAATTAACACCTACTTGTGGATTGGAAACCTGAGCTCCATATGTCCTTCTCCTCAGTCAAATGCCACAACCTTCCTTCTCACCTGGAATCAGAGTGAACACTTAGTCTCAATGCACCAAAGTTGTGTTCATTTAGACAGATGCTACAGTGAGCCAAATATACTCATTTAAACATCAATAAGCCTGACCTCCAACTGAGCTCATTTGTGCAGAGGTAGGCAGGATGGATTTGAGGAACATCAGGGAAACCTGCTAGCTTTCAGGATGCTATTAAAGAGCACCAGCCTTCCACCAACCGTCCCTAAATGTGATCACTTTCAATTTGCTCAATTTGGCAGGTAAGTGATTCACAGATCTGAGGCTCTGAACAAATCATAACAGGAATTCCAATGTTGCAACATTCCAGCAGGAGCTGAGAGCATACAGTCCCACAGCACCCTGAACAGTTAGCCTGAATCTGTTGGGGCTGGGTAGTGTACTGGCACCCCAAACCAGCAAGATCTGCTTTTGTCACAAACTGATCACAATATGTTGCTAGGCTATTGATTTTTCTTCATTTCTATACTTCATTTAAAGGCTTGAGAATGTCCACTGTATATAATACCACAACAGAACAGAATATAAAGTCAATTCCCCAGTTAAGATGCTGATTAAACTTATGTACACTCAGGTAATCATTAGTTGGTTCAGAGATAGAGGTTTGGTCTTAAATTAGATCATTAGTGTTCAGAAAGCCAGTGTTTATATGGATTTCCACAAGAATATTTAGGTTTCATGACATTGCAAAACACAGGCTCAGTAAACATTTTCATTAAAGCACTTTATCAGGCAGAGTTCCTTTATAACCTAACAAATGAGTAACACTAGAACTAATGAATGTTCTATCTGTTTATCTTGCTACAAACATTCATCATATTAAAATAATATGGTGGGGAGAGAGAGAGAAGTAACATACTGCTTACCTGGATTTCCTTTGTGTAATAGCTAGGAGCTGGGTTAAGTATTCTTCTGTGTGTTACTGCATTAATTTGTATACATTCATAAAAGATAAAAATGATATTACTACTATTGAGCCATCAGAATATGGCATGTTAAGTAATTTGCCCAAGGTCACATACCTAGCAAAAACTGAATCAAGATTTGGCTTATCCTAAAGCCCATATGCTCTTCTCACACCACTGGGCAGTCTCTCACACAAAATGACCCAAAACACATTATAAGCGAGAAAGGGAAGAATCCACACAATTATTTGTGAGGTCTAGACTCTAGAGCACTCACCTTTACAAGAAATAAATCATGTTACCACATTGATCCATGCCAGAGAGTTAATTTCTCGTTTATTCATTACACAAAATAATCTAATTATTTCAAGCCACTAGAGATCACAGAATCACTGCTTCAGTACGCTACACTGTTCACTAGTAACCTTAAAATCTAGCCCAAAGTCTTAGGTTATTTGTGGAAAGCCCATAAGCATAGTAATCCAGGTGAATTCACCCACTGCCTGCTGTAAAATAAGGAGTCTCTTCCTACTCAAATCCAAAAATTTCATAGACTCTAAACAGCCTATATTTGTGATGTTCTCCAACTTTTCTCAAAAGAGCTATTATGTCAGTTCTACTTACCTCATCCAGAAAATGGGATGAGAGGGGGAGGAAGAGAGGGGGAGGCATAAGGAACCAAGTGCTAGAGGGTTGCATGTGTATAATTCACTATTTATTTTTCCCTGTGTTGATGTTTAACCATCCCTAATAGACTCCACAAATGCTTTCCACATCCAGTTTCAATGGTCTATTTGCTGCCTAGTATAGCATATAATCTTTTCCAAAAGAGGTATTGATCTTGTTAAGTCTCCCCATCATCTAGACTTTAAGCATCCCTCAGCAGCTTCGTTCCTGTAGACAAGCCACATGATGTTTTTTACAGCTGCCCATTAGCAATTCTGAGAGCTTCCTGCTGCAATGGACCAGGAGGTAGGGGGATAACGGTATACTGTGGCAAACATTTTACATATGTTTTCTCTTATGAGCCTCACAATAGCCTTATGGGCAAAGGATCATTAGTCCCACCTTATGTCAAGCATAATATGTTATCCCTCTGCAGAGTAGGGAAACTGAGGCTAAAAACGGTTAAGTACATGATGCAGATGTTCTTCAGTATTGACTCCTCCCTTCTATCATTTCTCCCCTTGTTGCCCATCACACTCAGGGTTTGTTCTGGTAGGGAGGGGTCATTGGTTTGTCTGTCTCGGTTTTTGTTTTGTTTATGCTGCTGTCTTACTATGTAGCCCTGGGCTAGCCCAGAACTTGCTATGTAGAGCAGGCTAACCACCAACTCACAGAGGTCCACCTGCCTCTGTCTCTCAAGTCTTGGGCTTAAAAGTGTCTACCACACCCAGCTGTCTTTTTCCTTTTTTAGAAATCATAGAGAATTGAGTGGTTGGTTATGTATTTCCTTACTTGTCACCAGGGACAGCATCTAACTGTGCTGGGAATTGTCCAATGAGAAATGAAATATCAGGTAAAGGACCATTTTGTCACTTCACACAGAGCTGAAATTTAAGATCCTAAGCCTATGTCTAACTGTCCTAACCAAGTGCTAAGTGTGCGCTCTCTCTCTCTCTCTCTCTCTCTCTCTCTCTCTCTCTCTCTCTCTCTCTCTCTCTCTCTCTCTCTCTCTCTCTCCCCTCTCTCTCTCTTTCTTAAACATATGTCAAGTACTTTTCCAGCTTCTTACTCCTACCTGTTGCTATGCCTTCTCTGCCATAATGGCCTCTCTCCCTTTATTCCCCAAGTTGCTTTTTGTCTGGATACTTTTATCACAGCAACAGAAAAGTAACTAATGCAATTGGTTTTCCTCTTTCTGTTCTTTCTATACCTCTTTAACTACTTCTCAGGGATGAACTTGTATTAAAGTTACTCATGCACATTTCTCTTCTCAACTAAGCTAACAAATACACAAGGCCACATCTTTATCTATGCTGCCACCCCTCTGCCTCCTCCAACTCACAGCAGTCAGAACATTACCTCACAGAAAGTGGGTCCCCATGGCATATTAAATGAATAGACTCGACTATCATCTCAGGCATCCATCCTCAATGTGAAGTCATTGAAGATAGAGAACAAAGAAATGCTTCAACTCAAAACTACAACCCTGTCCAAAGGCATGATGAAAAGGGAAACTGAAGGTGAACAATTACCACTCAGAACACATGTTTCTAAATAAAACCAAGCATTTAGATGCTGTCAGAGTACGGTTGCCAATCCTACAGGCCATCTTCCATGGGAAGAAGCCAATTCCCTATGAAGTTCCTCCTAAGGAATGAGCTTGTATCTCCAGTGCACAACAAATGGGGTATGGGAGCTGCCAACAGAATGCCCTACAGGGCCCTGATGAAATGGGATGCAGAGGAGTGCGCTTTTTTGATACAAAGATCTGTGCATGTGTTGATTGACAGGAGCAGGGAGGGGTATCGGGTGGAAGCCAGAGGTCCTGTGAGCCTGCTGGATGTGTGAAAAAACTAATGAGAGCATTGAGCAAGTAGAGCTGAAGAGTAATGAGGTAAAGGGTTAAAGGCAAACTTGTCTCTTGCCCTTTGCCCAAGAACAGCTTTCTCTGCAAGGTAATTCAGCTGTCACTCCTGAGAAAGCGAGATACCCCCAAAGAAAACCTGCTTCCTTGCCCTGTGCTGCTGCTGTCAGGGAGAATGCTCGAGGCCTTGAGAGGAGCAAAGACCAGCTTGCTGTCTTTTTATGACTCCAGAAACATAGCATGTCCATGGTAGAGGGGGAGGAGGAACCAATAGGGGAGCAGACACCACCCTCACCCCCCTCGACATTCACGCGACCCGATTGTGTCAGCGCCACTTGTCCCCCCATCTGTCACAATGTCAGTTCCTGCTGGGGTCCCGGGATCCACAGAGGTTGCTCCATGTGTCGCCCCATTTATCTTTGCAGGCGGCAGCACTGATGGGTTTGACAGTTCTATTTGTTATCCTGCAAAGCAGGGTCTCCACTCCTCAAAGCAAAGGGAAGAAAAGTCAGGCATGTAACAGAACTGAGACAGAAATAGGCACTGGGAGAAATTTAGAGGAGGTCAGTAATGTTGGCATCATCTTATGGAGATGAGAGGAAGAGGCAGGCAACTGGAAAAGCAAGCCCTGTACTGTGACTTCTGGGGGATGGCTGAGGTGGTATGTGTGCATGGGTGTGCATGAAATATATGTATGTGTATGTATATAATCAACACTATCATATATAAGCAACATGGCTACCAGATGACAATGATTGACTATTCTCCCTTTGGTGCCACTATGGTTTCTGGCCACCATAGTGGCACTTCCCTCCCATCTTCTATGTGACATGCCTTCAAGGAAGGGCTTCAAAGAGGTGCAGGTTTTCTGTCTGTTGACCCCGCAGGATGTGCTATTATGTTATGACTTTCATCATAGTTGGTACTCAGAATGCAACTCTATGGGATAGATGTTGGTCCTGATAAACACCAAACTCTTGCTATGGCACAAGTCCTCTACATATTCAGCAAACTGCCCCCAGAAAGTGACAATAGAGTCAGACAAATGATATTCTACACTAAAAACAGACATCATGACATCATATGGAGACTAGACTCAAGACAGGGATATGGCCCTGCTCTCTCAGGAGGGATACTGATACAGTGGCTGGTGGCTGTATGTGATTATGACCCCTCTGTGTGGTTACATTTGGGGTGTCATTTAGTATCTGTAACTACCCTATAAAGTAAGTATAATTACATCACTATTTTATTGAGTAAACTGAAGTACAAAGTGTGACTTGCCCAGTGTCTCGCAGCATGTAGTGGGCCTGGGCTTTGAACCATATCTAACCCTTAAGCCATTAGTCAAAAGAATACATTGCTTTCCAGAATAATAACTAAATAAGCACAACTCCATCCCTCATCTATAGTGACAAACCATCCTAATTTGCCCCAACACTCATGTGTCCCAGGTGAGTCATCCATCCACAATATAATTCAACACACACACACATACACACACACACACACACACACACACACACACACACACACCTGAATGTTTAGAAACTCATGAATACACTAACATATCCAGGTTATTAATGTTCTGTTTCTGCTATTAGGAAAGAACCCAGGCCCAGATAGACCTTGGGGTTTTCATACAATGTGACCTCTTTCTCTTAGCTTCCCCTTCTGTGGCATCTGGTATTAAGCCTGGTTGTGCTGCTGAAGGACACAGAGACTTGTAACTGAGGGCCACCAAACACTATCATGACAAAACACATTATTATTACTTATAAAATTGTCAATACTTTCAACATAGTAAAAATGGCAATCTTGCCAAAAGCAATCTACAGATTCAATGCAATCCCCATCAAAATACCTGCACAATTCTTCACAGACCTTGAAAAAATAATACTCAAATTTATATGGAAAAACCAAAGACTCAGGATACCCAAAATAACTCTGTACAATAAAGGAACTTCCGGAGGCCTTACCATCCCTGACTTCAAGCTCTATTATATAGCTATAGTCCTGAAAACAGCTTGGTATTGGCACAAAAACAGACAGGTAGACCAATGGAATCAAATTGAAAACCCTGATATTAACCCACACACCTATGAACACTTGATTTTTTAAAAAGAAGCTAAAATTATGCAATGGAAAAAAGAAAGCATCTTCAATAAATGGTGCTGGCATAACTGGATATTGGCATGTAGAAGACTGCAGATAGATCCATGTCTATCGCCATGCACAAAGCTTAAGTCCAAATAGATCAAAGACCTCAACATAAATCCAGCCACATTGAACCTCTTAGAAGAGAAAGTGGGAGGTACCCTTGAACAAATTGGTACAGGAGACTGCTTCCTGAACATAACACCAGTAGCACAGACAGAGATCAACAATTAATAAATGGGACCTCCTAAAACTAAGAAGCTTCTGTAAGGCAAAGGACACAGTCAGCAAGACAAAAAAGGCAGCCCACAGAATGGGAAAAGATATTCACTTACCCCACATCTGACAGAGGGCTGATCTCCAAAATTTACAAAGAACTCAAGAAGCAAGTCTCCAAAGCATCAAAGTATCCAATTAAAAAGTGGGCTACAGAACTAAGTAGAGAATTTTCAATAGAGGAGTCTAAAATGGCCGAGGGACACTTGAGAAAATGCTCAATATCCTTAGTCATTAGGGAAATGCAAATCAAAACAACTCTGAGATACAATCTTACCCCTGTCAGAATGGTTAAAATCAAAAACACTAATGACAGTTTATGCTGGAGAGAGAAGAACACTCCTCTACTGCTGGTGGGAGTGCCAACTTGTACAGCCACTTTGGAAATCAGTATGGAAATTCCTCAGGAAAATGGGAATCAGTCTACCACAAGACCCAGCAATTCCGCTCTTAGGCATATACCCAAAAGAGGCACATTTACACAACAAGGACATCTGTTCCACTATGTTCACAGCAGCATTATTTGTAATAGCCAGAACCTGTAAGCAGCCTAGATGCCCCTCTACTGAAGAGTGGATAGAGAAAATGTGGTACATCTACATAGTACTACTCAGCAGACAATGGGATCTTGAAATTTGCAGGCAAATGGATGGCACTAGAAGAAACCATCCTGAGTGAGGTAACCCAGTCACAAAAAGACAAGCATGAGCCTTCATCCAATGGCTGAAGGAAGCAGAGGCAGAAACCCACAGCTAAACAGTGAACTGAACTTCTGGAACCCAGCTGCAGAGAAGAAGTGGTGAGCAAAAGGCTGGAGACTTGGTGGGTGAAACCCACAGAAACAGCCGACCTGAACAAGGGGGAGCTCATGGACCCCAGACTGATAGTTGAGAGGCCAGCACAGGACTGATCCATATCCCATGAACATGCGTGTCAGTAAGGAGGCTTTGGCATTCTTTGGGGCCTTGGGCAACAGACCAGCATTTATCCCTGGCATCCAGATGAACTTTGAGAGCCCATTCCATGTGGAGGGATGCTGTCTCAGCCTGAACATGTGGGGGAGGGCCTAGGCCCTGCCCTGGATGATATGACAGACTTTGGAGATCCCCCATGAAGAGCCTCACCCTCTTTGGAGAGTGGAGTGGGGGTTGGGTGGAGGGTTGGGGGAGGGTTGAAGGAGGCAGGGGAAGGGGGAGAGTGAACTGGGATTGACATATGAAGCAAACTTGTTTCTAATTTACATTTTAAAAATAAATAAATAATAGAAAATTATCACTACTTGTCCAATAAAATGCTGTTTGATGTTAAAAGGCAGCCAGCTGTGGTTAACAAGTAATCAGACATACTCTTTTTGTGGCTCCTTTGATGATTCCAGATGAACGTACGACTCTGATATGGGGGCCGGAGAATCCTACAGAATGGCTGGTACCTAAGAAAGGCAGAGTTATTGACACCATGCTTGACCAATGTTCTATAACAAGTAGAATTCCAAAGGCTTATAGTAAAGGATCACAAGCATAAATGAAATGATGGGAACAGCACCTGCCTCCAGAGCAGATATTCTAATGGGTGTTTGTCATTAAGCTTTTATCACCATTGTTATTATCAATACTAAAACCATAACCATGTTGTTTCACCCTGATCTTACTTAGGCCAATGTCATTGACAGGACACAAGTCATCATGAGTATAGTAACTGCTATTCTTGGCATCTGTCTGCATCCAAACCTTAAAGTGAGGCTTCACATATAGAAGCACTGAGCTCTTCCATGCAGATGAGGAACTATCTTGAGTCAGTCAAGCTGGCTTGTTCAGTGTCACTCAGCCAGCAGCAGGGTCTGGGCCCAGAGGCTTCTCCTGCCAGAGTTCAGGCACTCTTTTCAAAGCCACCAAACAAACAGAGCATTTCCCTACTGACTCAGTTCAAGCTAGTGTAGCCTGCAGTGCAGAAATGCTAACCACTGTCTTGGAGAGTATGGATTTTCAAATTTCAAAGGGACAAACACAGATAATGGACCAGATAATGTGACGATCCACAGGTTTGCCTTCTCCCAAACTCCATGTAAGCCTGAAAGGGCTTCAGTGGGATGTGGCCAGGGACCATCCTCAAAATTTCTTCATCTCTGGAGCTTGTGGTGGATAAAAGCTGCCAAAGATTCAAAGTTCCTGTGCCCCTGTACATCACCATTCTCCATGTGCCTGAAGGGCCTTCCTCCACCAGGCTATGCTTAGGTCTCCCTGATGGTGTCCCTCCCTGCTTAGAAGACTGGACTGAGGAGAAGCTGAAAGAAGATCACAAAATGGGCCCACGGTTGACTGATAGACTGACCATTATTCTCTGACTGGGATGGAGCCTCAGCTGTCCCCACCACTGCCACCTGTCAAGATGTATTCACCTCTCTGGTTCTGAAGCAACCACCTGACTGGAAAATGGAGCCCAGGAAGCCTATCACTTAGACATCTCCTTAGAAGTGGATCTTTCCCTGGACTGAATAAAAAGAATGTCACTTATCTCATGAGAATGTGCCATATATTCATATTCATGCTGTCATGTGGTTCTGTGTCTTTCAAATGACTTTGATATGGCCCAACATTTACTCAAAGAGAAAAATTTTTCCTCGTCTCTTTACCTATTTATTTTTTCTTTTACTTATTGAACATGTGGTGTGTGGGCATGTTGTGTAGGTGCACATGTGTGTGGATACACATACATGTATGTACACATATATTTGGAGGTCAGAGAACATGTGAGACTCTGACAATCTTTTTTTCCCTTTTTAGGCAGGATCTCTCACTGGTCTGGAACTAGCTAAGTGTGCTAGGCTGACTCAACAGTGATCCCCAGGGATCCTCATGTGTCTGCCTGCTCAGGAGTGAGGTTACAAGTGTACACACCACGCTTGGCCTCTTTTTTATTATTGAAAATGGATTTTTTCATACAATATATTATGATGGCATGGCTTTTAAAAATAGTGGTTCTGAGGATCAAACTCAGGTCCTCATCCTTGCAGGCAGGACAAGAACTTTGCCAGCTGAGCCATCTCCTCCACCCTTTGAATCTTTCTTTTTAAAACTCACCAAAAGTCCTCTGCAATTGTTTTTCTTTAGTTTTGGGGAAACTAATAAAAATGTGGTATAAGGGATTGGTCATTGAATAACATTATTCTCGTATTATCACTGGGGACATAGAAGTTTGTCAGCAAATATTCATAAGATATCCTCTTAAAGCATATATTCTTCCAAGCATGCTTTGTGTGAGTATTCCCCAAAGCTTACCAAGCAAGGAACCAATAAAGTAAGATGTCCCATCCCATCCCTCCTTTAACAGCTGCTAGCCCTGTGGACCAAGACAGTGGGGGTGGGGGTGGGGAAGCTGCTAAGTGCACATCTACTTGATCAGTTTCAGACCTTGGACTATGGTGGTGTTTGAGCTTCACCAGTTCCTGAACTGGAAAGAAATGTGATGTGACAGGGAAAAATAACTATTCATAGGAGCAGAAAACTATCATCTATTTTTTTTAAAGTGCTCCTAAAATAACAGTGGAAATTCCACTCAGTGAGGGGCACAGAAGACAGATCCAACACCTACACAAAGCCCCTGACCACGGAGACAACAGAACACAAACACAGTGCTTACCTGGGGGTGGCAGGGGGCAACATCACCAAGGTCAGACCACATACTGCTGGAGGTACCTCTGCCCAATCATCTCAGGCTTGCTCAGAGCATCTAGCCATCTAGCTCAGGTCCATTGGACTTGAAGGAGACTTTGGGTTCATGTTCTCTACCTACCACATTGAGTCACACACTTTCTAAGCCTCCATTTCTTCAAATGTAAAATGAAATCCGTATCTCTCCCTCAGACTTCTGAGAATTGTTGCAGAGTTTGATCTTTTAAATTATAAAACTGTGTAAAAGCCAAAGGAAATTACCTTCCTCCACTGCAACTGGGGAACTACACAATGGCTTCTCAGTTTGGGGACAGATACAAAGTAGTTTACATTGACAGACAGCCCACGCTCCCCTCCCTAGAATGAGGGGGATAAGAACCCTGGATGCCTTCCTGTGTTACGATGTGTATTATCAAACCTACTAAGCTGTCTGCAGGCTGTGCATTGTGCCGCAAGTTCCCAGCTTTTGTGAGCTGTCACCCATGCTAGGGTAGGCTTTGGTGATTCAGCTATTTTTAAGTAATTTCTGTTTCTATAAGTGACCCCCTCACCCATATTCCTGTGAGTAACCTTAGTAATTGGTTCACCAAGTTGGGCATGAGTGGGGTAATGCATTGGATGGCTACATGGTGAGATCCCGGAAGGAATATAATTTGACCTGGAGATCACAGAGACAAGTAACAATACTGCCTGTGGATAAAATGACTATGTCACTGTTTCCCATTTTGTTTTTTATAGAGAACACAGAAAATCATGAAAAGAAAGAAGAAAAACTGGGGACTGTGGAAAGTCAGGAAATAGCCTTAAAGTGTTCTGGATACTGATTCAGACTAGAGTCTCATAGATTTCCTCCACTGTAGCCTACCCCAAGCCAACCTGCTGATCTTCCTTGGTTCCATCTTTCAGACAATGCATGTTCATTTTTTCTGAAACATTCCATTTCCCAGAGAAGTCCTTCAAAATAGCTTCAGGAAGTCCCTGAAACTGACTAGATCTACTAGGTCCCTCCCTTCTCAGGACTATATAAACAGAAAAGACTGCTGACAGTAGCTCTCAGATAAGCCAAGCTGCAATGAAGACTGGTGCCTGGAAGAGGTTTAGACAAACTGAGTCACTTGGAAAGGATTCTCCAACCTGCTGAGCTGGGTGAAGGCTATGCAATGTGCTCCAAGTTCCCAGTTTTTGTGAGCTGTCATCTATGCTGGAGTGGGCTTTGGTGATAACCTGTCTGAGTCATTTCTGCTCCTGTAAGTAACCGGTCACCCATATTCCTGTAAGTAACTCCAATAAAACTCATTGGTTCACCAAGTTGCACTTTGGTGGTATCTATTCTTTGATCTGTGGTAAGATCTTTGTCTAGTGTGAGTAAACATCTGTGTTGCATCTCCCTAGGAAAAGTCATGTCACCCAACAGCACCACTTAGCCATTGTGCAAATTCTAGATGTCATTCTAGGCTCCCCTCCATTATATCCAGTTAAATCAAATCCAGTGGACACCATGTGCCTACCAGTCCTGTTCTCCAGTCCTGTTACTGCTGTTTGGATCAATGAGGTTTGGATGTTATCACAGTTGGCTCAGTCATCAGAACTATCAGTTATTCTCTTCATTTTTGTTCACACAGAAACACCTCTGTCCCCATGCTCCACTGTCCCCTCTACAGAGAAAGTCTTTCCAACATCTAAGTCATTCCCTTCTCATTCTTAGACTTCCAGGACCCTCCCAAATCCACAGGCTATGCTCAGTGTTCCTCTGTGGTGCTGCCTAAGCAAACCCTCCCCAATATGCTCAAGAGCTGGTCTTCTGACTTACAAGACTATGAACTGTAGGGAGAGATCTTACATACCTGTAACACTGACCATGCCCATGTGGGTGTATTCACAGGTACCTAGAATGTACAGGGGATAAAAAGAGCTAGAGGGAGGAGACTCTCTCTCTCTTTGGGTTCCGGTTTCAGCCTGGAGAGCAGTGTGCAGACCTTTGGTTCTCAGCTTTCTTGGCTTCTCAAGTGAGTGAATTCTCCCTCAATAAAATATCATAGGACATTCCTAGTTTGTGTAGCTTAATATCTCCGAATTAATTAACATCTTTGAAGGGAAGCCCAGGCCTCTGGGTTTAGCACCTCAATAATGACTCTATCCCAACAGGTATTTGATAACCATTTGCTGGTCTGAATAGCTCCCAACTGCAGTGAATCTTGTTATTCTGATGAGATAGTCTGCAAAATCCCGCAAACCTTTTTCTTGTTTTATCCTAACCCAGAGGACACACCCATGTTCCCAGCCCATTGAGTTGGTGATGGACTGATGTGTTCCTAAACTACTGCCGAGAGTCCCCAGATGTACTCTCAGACTGGTCTAAATGTGTAATTTGTAAAGTGAAACTGACTTTTCATGCCAGCCAGGCTAGCCACCTTCTGAAGTCAGTGTCCACACTCCCAGATCTAGAAGGGAGTAAGTTTATGTAAATCAGACTGTGATTCATGCCTTCTGTTCTCCACCTCATCCCCTGGGGGTCAGCAAGCCTGTGTTATGGGTGGGCTTTCTCACAACCGTTTTCCTGACACTAAAAAGCCTATTTACACAAACATTCTATATAGCTGAAGTTATCCAAAACTAAGCATTTAAAAAACTATTTGTTTCTTTTTATAATTTTCATTTTGGGGGAATTTCAAGCATGAGAACATATGCTCATCATTTCCATCCTCCCTCTCCCCCTCCAACTCCTCCTATGTGACCCACCAACCCCTCTCTACATATGACCTATCCCCTCCAACTCCTCACAAGCCCCACCCACCACCCCTCTCTATGAATGACCTCTTTTATACTTACTATTGTTTTATGCACACACCCTACTGAGTTCAATTAGTGTTGCCTATATGTACATGTGTTTAGCATTGACCACTTAAGATTGAAAAATCTTTCATGGGTCTAAGGAAAACTTATTCACCCTTCTTCAGCAGCCAGTGATTACCTGTAGCACTTCATCTAGGCATGAAACCTTGTGAAAATTTCCCCTATCCACATTAACATAGCATATCAACTAGTACGGTCACTGTGTAGGTCTTGTGTAGACAATCAAATTGTTTCTTCTTCACTAATCCTAGAAGACATTATCTCAATGCAATTTTCCCGGCCCTCTGGCTCTTACACTATTTCTTCCCTTTCTGCAACAATGTTCCCTGAGCCTTTGCTGTAGGAGTTGTATTGTAGATGTCCCAAGTGGGGCTGAGTACCCTACAGTTGCTTATCCTCTGCATTTGGCCAGCTGTGGATCTCTGTAGTAGCCTTCTCTCTTCTACAAAACAGAAGCTTCTTTGATGAGAGATAACTGTACCTCCCCACGGGTATAAAGACAAGTGTTTAGAATACAGTTGGAAGCTATATTGACTTGGGGAAATTACAGTAATAGGGCCTCCTCTAGTTTTATGACACCTTCAGCTGAGGATTCTTGGCTAGGCTTATAGTACAAGGCTACAGTTTCCTCCTACTGATCAGGCTTTAAGATCAATTAGATAGAGATTGGTTACCCCCAAAATATAAATGTCATTATTGTACCACTGGGGAAATCTTGCCGAGCTGGTCATTGTTGTCTGCATGTTTTACAGCTGAGTAATATCACTGATTACTATTCTCCACTGGCAGCTTGCATCATACTTTTGACATGGTGAAAGCTAGCCCTAAGGAGGAGGCTTCTAAGTTAGTACCATCTGGATCCTGACTAAAGTGTTCAGTGTCTTCAACTTGAAGGGTCTTACCTTCAAGTTCTGGGAGGTAACCCAGAGCAATGACAGCATCCTATATTGTTTTGGAAGTCTTCTGGACACTTGACCAACAACTCAAAGGGAGGTATTCATTGTTGTTAATAGACTATGGCTCTTGGAGGAAGCCTTAGCACCCTCTGTGGGGTAACTCAATTTAAAAGCCCATTCATACATTAAAATGTGTGAAAACATTATATCCTATGTGTATTTTAAGGTTATATAAAACATAGCCATTAAGGTTTGGGAGTATTTGAAGTGTCACTTCCCTTGTTGGCTTTGATATTCCATAACTTTAAGAGGTATCATAATGCAGTAGGTTCCAAAAATGACCACAAAGCTCAATCCTCCCCTTGTATAAGCTCTTTTAAATGGGACTTTCAGCCCTCTTCATCAAAAAGGGTGCTCTGTTTCCCCTCCTCTTGAATATAGACTGTCCCTGATTTGTTTGCCCAATATAATTCAGTGGAAATGGCAATATGCCAGTGTGATCCGGGTTCTTTTTATTATTATTTGTTCTTCTCTCATATATTACATCCCAACCACAGTCTCTCTCCTTCCAGACCCCCTCTCCACGCCTCCTCCTCCCAGTTCCCCCATTACCCTCTCCCCAAGATCTACTCATCCTCCATTTCTCTTTAGAAAAGAGCAGGCCTCCCAGAGATATCAACCAAACATGTTGAGCCAGGTTCTCAGCAAACCTTTTATGCTGCTGTCACATTTTCTCTCACTCTCTCTGTGTCTCTATCCTCTTCTCTCTCTTCCTCTCTCCCTCATTCCCTTCTTCTCTGCTTCTCTCCTACCTGCCTTGCAAAGAAGCTCAGTCTAGCCGCCAAACAACGTGAGCCATATGGCCTTCTGCTTTATTAACCTGTTATCATGTAACAAACTATCTCAAACTTAGTTGCTCAAAACAATTATCATGTTGTGCCTACAAAGCAGCAATTTAAACAGGCCTAGTAGAGACAGCTCATTTCTGCTCTGTCTGGCATCTTCTGGGAAATCTCAAAAGCCACAGTGACTCAACCTTTGGGAATAACTTGGCATCTTGAAGCTGGGGTCATCTGAAGGTTTACTCAGTCATTAAGTTGCTCCTACATCTGATATTGAATCTGTTGTCAGCTGAGACTTCAGCTGGTCCATTGATTAGACTTTTAGCTGTGGCCTCACTATGTGGCTACTCAGTTTCCACATAGTATCATAGTGAGTTCCAAGAGCAACATCATAAACAGAATAAAATAAAATCTGAGAGTTCTCAAGGTTAAGCCTGGGAATTAATCAAGAATTGCTTCCCTTGTGTTATATTGGTCAAGGCAGTCACAGAGACTTGCAGATTCAAGAGAAAAAACAAAGATGAGGAGTTGGAGAGATGGTTCATCAGTAAGAGCACTTGCTGCTCTTCCAGAGGACCAAGTTCAATTCCTAGCACCCACATCAGACAGCTAACAAACATCTATAACTCCAAGACATCTTTTGGCCTCCATCGGAATCAGCAGGTATGAGTGCATACAAATACACAGACACATACACATAAATCTTTTAAAATAATTAAACATATTTTAAAAAGACATATAAATTTTAAAAGTTTTATGTCATTATAGAAAGAACACGTATGTGTATGTGGTAGGTAAGTGAGTAGGTGTATATGAGATCATCTTTAGAAAACCCTATATGCCATACCCCATCACTCTAGTAATAGTCAATGAACTCCCAGACCCATAATTAATACCATCCTAAATCCACTAGGCACATAAACGGATGCAACAGTCAACTGGCAATATTATTATAAATCTATGAGTAATCTGGTACTAGCTGTGAACTTGTGAGCAGCAATAAATGGTTGTCATGATAAGTTATTACTTTTGTGTGTGATTTGTTTCACACAAATAATCCTGGATCCACCAACCACTAATGAGAAAGCTGCTTGAACCTTAGTAATATAGTTTATGTCACAGGATTGCAGACTGCTAGCATTAAGTGACATAATGGGGTTTGTGTACCTAGTAAAGTGCTGGCACCTGTCAATGAATGTCCTCTCTCTACTCTTCCTCACACAGTCAAAACTGTAATCAAAGTCATGTTCTCATTACTCCCTGTGCTGAATAAACCAAGGTCACAGAACCTGAACTGGATGTCAATCTCAGTTTTTCCTTGCAGAAGGTGACATTCAAAAATAACTCTCCTTACTAATCAATTAAACTAAGGAGAATTTTTCAAAATCACTCAACTATTCCAGCAGAAAGGATAAAGGGCAGGACAAGAGGTGAACTGTATGATCCTCCTAATGAAAATTTCAAGGAGACTTGGTTTATAAACACAGCAAAAATCCATTCTAAACAAAAACATCAGCTTTTCACTGTGCCTTGGATATTAGCCAGCAACGAAGGAGAGATTGACCTGATTTAGGGTTGGTTGCACAATATGAAAAGTGATTTTTTTTCTCCTTTCCATAGACCTAGAGCTAATAGCTTTGTTTCTGTCCCTGATCAACAGCAGAGAACACTGGGTTTGTTCCCTTTAAAATAAGTGCTCAAGAAGAATCCTGCTTTTGGTTAACTTCACATGCACTTTGAAGCTGCCATTGACATAAACTCAAGCAAAATATGGAGTCCAAAATAAACACATCACACTGAGAAAATTCCAAATCAAAAGATGGTGCTCTTCACTGATCTAATTGCCTGGGACAGTACCAACATGGGATCATGTTTGCAGTCTTACTCAACCCAGGGCTTTGGGGAATGAATTCATTTTGACTTGCACAGTAGCTCTGTGTGGCAAATAGTGCAAGTGTTGACTCTCCACTTCCACAGGTGAGGGAATCTTATGGTTTAATCAGTTCACTGAATGGTGGCCATGGTTTCAAGGAGCACTCAATCTGAGGCATAAGTGAGAAATCCACAATATCGCTTCCTCCTGGGAATTTGAACTTGTTATTACTGGGATTAAGCCCAGAAACATATGAACAAAGCAAATTTATCTTTTGAAAAATCTGTGGGGATGGGTGGGCAAATTGAGGATGAACAGAACAGTAGATAGATGATAGATAGATTGATTGATTGATGATAGATAGATAGATAGATGATAGATATAGAGAGAGATAGTGAGATACTATATTCTTTAGGATGGGTTTTTGCAGTAGAGTTTTATATGTACAGAGGCCATGAAAATGGAAATGAAACTAAGAAGGGGAAAGAAAGGCTGGAAGAGCCGGGAAATTGGAGAAGGGACTGGAAGAAAGACAAGGTAGTTCACATTTTCTCTTACACAAATTCTACACCTAACTATATTGCAGGAAAGCAGAAGAGGGCTATTTGGGAAGAGGAAGAGGACAAGCAAGGAGGGAGATGCAGGGGTGAGGGAATAAGGGGTGTGACAAAAACAAGGTATAATGATGTGCACGTACAAAATCTCATAAAGAAACTGTTGTTGTATACCTTTTAAAAAGAAATTTTAAAACTGCCTCTTTTTCTTCTTTTTTATATAACATACTTCTTTATTGATTCTTAGGGAATTTCACATCATGCTGTTGTAGTTAGGGTTTCTCTTGACGCAACAAAACAACATGACCAAGGAGTAAGTTGGGGAGGAAAGGGTTCATTAGACTTACACTTCAGCATTGCTGTTCATCACTGAAGGAAATCAGGACAGGAACTCAAAACAGGGCAGGATCCCAGAAGCAGGAGCTGATGCAAAGACCATGGAGGGGAGCAGCTTACTGTATGCCCTGGCCTGCTCAGTCCACCTTCTTATAGAACCCAGGACCAGCACTCCAGGATGGAACCACCCACCATGGGCTGGGCCCTCGCACATTGATCACTAATTGAGAAAATGCCTTACAGCTGGATCTCAAGAAGGCATTTCCTCAGTTGAGGCTCCTTCCTCTGATGACTCCAGCTTGTGTTAGGTTGACACATAAAACCACCCAGTACAACTGACCCCTTGTCAACATGACACACAAATACATCACTATTAAGCCACAATCCTCCCTTTCTTATTCATCCCCAAGATCTTAAATAACCTTTAAAGTCCACAGTCTACAAACTCAAACACATTTAAAATTTCAGTTCCTTTAAAATAGCTGGTCTCTTTAAAAATACAGTCTTGTAAAATTCAACTATCTCAACTGTGGGCTCTAGTAAAATACTTTCTTACTTCAAGAGGGAAAAAATCAGGGCACAGTCACAATCAAATCAAAACAAAACAAAATTCCAACCTTCCAATATCTGGGATCCACTCATGATCTTCTAGACTCATCCAAAAGGCTTGGGTCCCTTCTCCAGCTCTGCCCTCTGCAGCACACACAACTTGTCCTTTAAGCTCCAGCTGGCTCCACTCCACCGCTGCTGCTCATGGTGGTCTTCCCACGGTACTGGCATCTCCAACATGCTGGGGTCCCTTGCTACCACTGGGCTGCACTTTCACAAATAGCCTCTCCTAGGCTCTCCTCGTGGTGCCAAGCCTCAACTTCTTTGCATGACCCCTTCAGTCCTGTGCCTTCAACTGCCACTGAGACTGCACCTTCACCCATGGCTTTATTTGGCCTCTCACAGTGCCAAGCCTCAGCTGTTCTCCATGACCCCTTCATAACTTCAAAGACAGTATTACCTGGTGATTCTTACATATTATCAAGTCTGGCTGCCAGCATGAGATACAACTTTGGTCATTTCTGGAACACAGCTTTTCTGTGCTCTCAGGAAACACTTCCCAGATTTCACCTCAGTAGTGCTGGTCTCTTCTTAATCACTGCTAATTTCTTAGCTCCAAATGACCAGCATCAAGTATCCTGACAAAGCAAAATTTTACCTTAGTAGTTCTGTTGTCTTGTTAATAACAGCTGATTCTTCAGCCCCAAATAGCCAGAAACACAGGATCTTAATTCAAAATAATCAAATGGCCCTGGTAGTCTTCAAACTTCTTTTGAAACTTTGCAAGCCCACCCTCTATCTTCTGCACTTCTCTCAATATTAGTATCTTCCAAGGTCTCACAGAACATCCCACTGAGGTCTCTCAAAACTCAATGGCTCTTCTAGCCCAAAGTTCCAAAGTCCTTCCACAATCCTCCCAAAAAACATGGCCAGGTCTGTCACAATACCCCATTCCTGGTACCAATCTGTCTTAGTTATGGTTTCTATTGCTGGAACAACCATGACCAAAGCATAAGTTGGGGAGGAGAGGGTTTATTTGGCCTATACTTCAGCATTGCTGTTCATCACTGAAGGAAATCAGTACAGGAACACAAAACAAGGTAGGATCCCAGAAGAAGCAGGAATTGTTGCAGAATCATGGAGAAGTGCTACTTACTGGCTTGCTTCACTTGGCTTAGTCAGCCCACCTTCTTATAGAACTCAGGACCAGCAGCCTAGGGATGGCCCCACCCACCATGACCTGGGTCCTCCCCCATTGATCACTAAGTGAGAAAATGCCTTACAGCTACATTTCAACTGAGGCTCCTTCTTCTGATGACTCTAGCTTGTGTCAAGTTGACACACAAAACCACCTAATACATATGCACCTCTATTCTGCTCACCTCCCAGGCCCCTCATATCCACCCCCACCCCTGCTGCATACCCTCCCAAAAAAGAAGACCCCCCAAAAGTTTTTAATTAAAAACAAAACAAGCAAAGAACCTCACTCCTCCATCTTTCCTTCCTCTCTAGCACATCTTCATTCATCCTAGTGGCACTTGGAGCTGTGGTTTGTCACACAGTATACCCTTTTGTCCAATCAGTCCCACCCACAAATGTTCATTACAATGAGCCATTTGTCTGGTTCAAGGCCTTTGGCCTCTGGTACATGATCATCACCAGACCCTCACCAAAATTACTCTCAGGTAACCTGCTGTTGCCCTGAGCCATGGAGATCCTGCTGCTATGGTTCTGCAAAATCAGTCCCTTCATGAACTCCACCTGGTCATAAATGGGGTAGGTGTTAGGGTGGGTCAACCCAAGGCCCATAATGTGGGCCTGGGTGGTAGTTGAGATGGGACCACCCCTCTATCAGGTGAGGGAAAGAACCAGCTCTTCTAGGCCTATGCCATTTTGTCAGCTCTCTCATGCCTGTGGTGAAGGGTGGAGCCAGCTTTCCTGAATGGGGAGGGGTTAGCTCTCTTGTGAGAGGCAGGACCGGCTCTCCTGCTGGAGTGTCCAGCAAGGAGCAGGGCCAGATATCCCAAGACTGGTGAAGAGTGGATCCAGCTCAGCACAGCCCTCAGATTTCAGCTCTCTTGGTTCCTATGGCCCTCTGTGGCAACACACACCATAGGCATCAACACAGATCCAGCTGCAGCAGGACCACATGCTCACCCCTCATCAGCAGCTTGGGCCCTGATGTCACCATGGCCCCAGTGGCAGTGCATGGCGCCCAAATATGACCCCCTGCAGCAGAATGACCCATGGGCATCAACATTGTCTCAGGTGGCTCAACAGGCCCCAGATACCCACACAACCCTTAGTGGTTACCAGGAGCCACAGACATCAACTCAGATGCTGGCTGCTACAGTGTAGTCATAGACATGGTCCTATGCAGCAACTCAGGCCTGCACAACACCATGGCCCTGGGTGCCAGCACAGTGAATAGTCAGCATGGCCCTAGTGGTTTCTTGTCTCTTGGACACCAACACAGCCACAGGTAGCAGCCCAGACCCAGGCATCCTTATGGCATTTGGTGGCACCATGGGTCATAGATGTCAACCCCAGCTGTGCAAGGACCTTGGCAGCAGCCTGGGCCCAGACAGTACCCTGACCCCATGTGTTAAGTAGGTCACCCACATCAGCCTATTCCTCGCCGGGTTTATTTCTTCATTTCTTCCCCTCTCCGCAGCACATGAACCACTCTATTTCTCTTTGTCTCCCATTTCTCCACTATACAGTTACTCATGGCAATGGCACCTACCTACCTGGTGTCTTTCAGGGCCAGGTAGGCCTATGTATTCCTTCAGTTAGCCCAGACTGTGAGGACCCAAGCTGACCCATGGGTGTCTTTCAGCCGCCGCGGCCGAGTGGCACAAGGCAGGCCTGTGGATACCTTCAGCCAGCCGTGACTAAAACTTTCCTTTTGATTACATTATCCCCACCTAATAACCATTCCTACAGTACAAAATCAAAAGATGAGTTTCTCAAAGTCAAATATTAAAATTAAAATACTTTCCCTTTGTCTTGGGCTCACATCAGGAAAGGGGTTTAGAAGGAGAACAAATAAGCCATTTCGTTGACATTTTAGATATCAGAGAGAGCAAATAAAGCTCAGTGTTGAAAGGAGACATCATGACTATCTGGTCTAGCTTACCATCGCCTGAGATGGAAAACACTGGAGCAAGCTGTGAGTAATCGTCACCAACAATCTAGCCTAGACCACACAGTACCAAGTCACATGGTCATCAGTCCTGTTGGCATCCTAAACCTTAGAGGGACAGCCTAGCACTCCCTCTCAGCATCGAGCCACACATACATCCTTTCCTGGAGCTGACTGCTCAAAAGATAAACTGACAGGTGTTATTGTGAGCTGTTACTTTAGGACATGGTGTTGCACATACAAATATTGTTATACAATGAATTTCTCGTGAACTGATGCTTTCTTGTTCTATAAAACGCCACCGTGTTATATAAAGCTGAAGCTCAAAGCCACTGTGACTATGTCTTCATAATAGACACTCAAGGAGCCTATGACTGAGGACAGAACAAGAGCTGTTTTGTTGATCCCAACTTAAATACGAAAACTAAAACATGTCAAGGAGAATTATACCAAGTTAGATCAGCTTAGGCAGAGAAAGGTTCTGTTGTCATGGAAATATCAAACAATCACAAGACTATCATCACTGCTTTAACATCTGGCCTATAGAAACAAGAGTGAGTTCTGTCTGCACTGTAGATTGGAGCAGAATCCAAAGAGGTTCTGCTGCTGTCAAGTTAGGGAAGATTTGAATTTAGAGTAAGTTTTAGCCTTGATCTAATGGCCATATCCCCCAAGCTTGTGACAGTCACCTTATAAAACCTTGTTTGATATAAAAATAATCTTCTTTAATTATGTATCAATAAACCATGTGGCAGACTCACTAGATGCCCTTCAGTCATTTGTCATCAGAATGCAGGAATTTTTATTTCCTAGCAGTTGAGATGAAGCCATACGATTAAGTTCTGGCCAAAGGAACATGAGTGGAAATGTGGACTTCTATAAAGCTGGGTATAAAACTTCTCTCCTAATCATCCTCATTCTCTATTTTTCATCAGCTGAGAGAAACTGAAAACATTGCAAGGGCACTATAAACAAAGAATTAAGTCTGCAAAGGGCATACCTACACACATGCTCCAATATGAAGCAGTATGGTCAGAAGGTAAAACAACCTTGTGGCATTTTCTTCTCCAAGGTAGAGATGAAAGGGGAAAGAATCAGTAAATTTAAACATTAACCAGCAACAACAGGATAGGACAGCAAAAAGTCACTTCCCTTGTGGAATTTGGCATTTTACTGTGCATTTTTGTCTCTTTTGTGTCTGAGACAGAGTCCTTTGTCTATCCTGTGACTGGTCCAAAGCACACCCATGCCCAGTCTGAGGGTCTTTCTTCCTGTGAGCAGCTTACATGGGCTAGTTTCTTCTCATAGCCTCCTAATATGAAATATTTGTCTTTGACTCAGGATGCTCTTAGGCAAATAAATTTAGATTGAATAATAATGCCTAACATTCACTGAGCACATACTATATGCCAAAGACATCTCTAACATTTT